CAAATCCACCGGATCAAAATCTCAGAATTATTATTTTTTTAACCTATCTCAGTTCCATGTTCTTCCTCAATAACAACGACGAAATCGAAGACAATGATATTTTATCTTACGACAGCAAGATCTGGTTCGTAAAGAGAGAGATGAGATATGGTTCGTAGAGAGAGAAAGAATGATATGGTTTAGAGAAGAAAGATGAAATCTAGGTAGAGAGAGAAGAAATCTCAGATTTATGTTATCCACCACCAGATCTGAAAAAATTAGGTTAAATGAGTTAAAGGGTAATATGGGAATGTAGAGAAAAAGTGGCATTCTTGCAAAGATTTTAAAAAGATAGCATTTTTGTAAAGTGACATGGAGGATGTGGTATTTCCTAAAATTTCTCTATTTAAATTAGGTTTATTTTTTACTATATTACAAATAAATATATCATTATGTTAAATAGATTAATCTTTTGACGTGTCGTTAAAGCTAATTGAAAAGAATTATTTTATCGATTGACTTACACATATTCGGTAAGATTAATTACAAAGTAGACAAATCAAACATTGCAAAATAAGATACTTATCTTTTTCTATTTTATAATGTAACGCCCGTGAACCAAAATGTGTATTTTTGGTTGGTGCGTTGATCGACACAGTGTGTGTGTGTCGATCGGCACACGTGGTTGGACTTGCGAGGAATCGGGTTCTGGGTGTTGCGTCTATCGACACAAGTGATTTGCGTCGATCGACGCAAGTTGAAATCGAACCGACAAGTTCGGTTCTTGATCGCTTGGTTTGGCGTCCGGTTTAGGGAACCCTAGGGCATGATATAAAAACGCATGGAGACGTTTTTGCAGCCGATTTTGAAGAGGAAAAGGAAAGGATTTCGTAGGTTGTAAGAGAGAAAAATAGATTGTTGCTTTGAAAACAGTTCTATCCGATTTTAGAAGGGGAGACACGAACGGCTAGGAAGATCGGATCGGATTGGAGCAAAACTTCTAGAGTAAGTTCTCCACTCTCGTATCTAGCTTTGGGCGAAATCGGTTTGTCATTTGGATTAGTACGAGAGTTATCATCGTTTTACTAAGAGATGTTTCTGCAGTTTTAGGTTTGCGATCATTCCATTTCGAGGGAGGATTCTCGTCGAACCAGAAGGACTTAGGAGACGATCCGCCTATCTGTGGAAAGCTCTCTCTGTNTAGTTTTCAGAACAGGNTTTCGATCNTGTTTCNNATGTAATCTCCNTTCTCTGTGTTCTTTAGATGTCAACGTGTCGTTCATGTTTTCTGAGACTGGAATTTCCTGTTTCCAGTTCCGAACAACGAAATTGCGGGCTGTTTTTCCGTCGTTCTGTAAGGACCCAGAAGATAATCTAGGTATCATTGGAAAGCCCGGAGTCTTAGATTTCCACAGCCACCGAGTTCGGTTTAATCTGAAATTTGAAACACGTGTTATAACCGTTTTTCCTAAGGTGAGTGCGTGACCATGGTTTATCTGGATAAAAGAATTGATGGAATATGATTGTTTGCTGTTGTTTGGATTGGATTCTGTGTGTTTTGTTGACGGATTCGTGCAGGAGATCGATGAATCGCTTTGGATTCGAGCCATGAGAGGATAGGCTCGATCCTCACGATCTGCAGCGACGCGTCGATCAACACAATTGCTTT